CATTTCCCACCACCATGGATCCCAGTATCCCTCCCACCCCCCAGGCCCCCCATTCCACCCTGCCTCTGTGACAGGACATTCCCCTGTGTTCTCTCACTCCTTTTGGGTGTTGTGGTTTGCAAAAGAGTTAAGCCTGATTTTCAGAGAGAAACGTTGGATGATTTACTTTCCATTGATCACTTTGTATATAAGGAGATGTCGCATGGCCACATAAGTGGCTGTGTGACTTGGAGTAAATGTCCTGGTTCCCGCATGCCCAAGCTATGCTTGTAGAGGCTCATGGTTACCAGGGATCCATCTGGAGAAGGCAGGATGCACCACCTACCCCATCTGGGACTTCCCGGTGATATTGGCTCTGTTTGGGACCTGGAGCATTCTCCGGGAGCTGTGGAGCCACCCAGCAGTTTTCTTCTTTGTTGTTGAGTGCTGTAAAGATGGCCACATTGTTCTTAATGTCCACATTTTCTCTTGCTATGTGTCACATTTCCTTACTTATTGTATATATATGCATATATATAAACACATATAGATTTTTACTGACATGCCAATATATTGATTATATTTTGAAAATATTCTAATTATTATCCTCTGAATACTTACTTGGTATTATAATAGCTAGTTACCTTCCCTAACAGTCATATTAAACATTAGAGGTGGTATTAGTTTGATTTTGCCGTAAATCCTGGGATTTAGCCTTCAGTATATTTTGTTCATACTGTCGGAGTCTTACTAGTACTCAGTGGAAAGTATGGAAAGTACAGGTTATTTCCCAAGTCCCATTACCTTGGCTGGAATTAAAAGCAAAATTTGAATTGCAAATTTTGTTTGATGAGCAATTGCTGAAACTATTTGGTTCTGTCTGTCTTTCTTTGGATGTTTAGAATTTTTTTCCCTGGAGGCTCTTTGGAGTCTTACTCCATCCATGCACAATTAAGTAGTAAGTCAAGGATTTATATACCGATTGTGGGTTTTGGAAATCCATTCTCTAAACTTATTTCTTTGACTTCTACCTACCCCTTTTTCTGGTTTTTGGTTTGTGGACCACACCTGGCAGTTTTCAGGGCAACTTTCTGACTCTGAGCTCATTGTTCACTTCAGGGGGCTATTTGTAGTGTTGGGGAGAGAACCTGGGGTATCTGTGTGTAAGGCAAGTGTCTCACTGACCTATTACTGCTCTCAAGCACTGTTAAGAGAGTTGCGGCAGCCTCAGACGCTGTCCATTGACTCTTCTATGAAACGAGACTGGATTTCTGCTTCAATTCCAGCAATGTTGTCCTCAGGAAAAAGATGTACCAAAGTACATCTTACCCAGTGCGGTTTCTCTCTTGCAAAGGTCAACTCTGCTTTTATTTTTCTTCAATATTTTCAGAGGGTTGGTTTTTTTTCTATTTTTTGTAAACTTCACACTTATTTTCAGAAGAGCTAGTCTCACAATTACTCCACTCACAAGTCTCACAGTTACTCCACTGTTATTTGAAGTCAGTACTCATCAAAAGGCCTTGACTGTAGATTTTAAACTATAGAAAATTAAATTTAAGTATTGTTGTATCATACCCATCAGTACTCATCAATATACTGGCTCTGCTCTTCACACACTATCTGAATGCAAGGTTCCATCCCAATGGAAAACCAGCAAGACTTTACTACTATACAAGAAGGGAGACATTCATGACATTGGCAACTATCGCCCAATCTGCCTATTGACTGTCATCTACAAACTGTTTTCACTTGAGTCATCCTGAATAGGATTGGCAGAACACTAGGTGAAGGACAACCATGAGAACAAGCTGGGTTCCAAAAAGGATTCAGCACCATCGACCATATCCACATGATAACCAAGCTCATTGAGGTTTCTCAGGAGTTCAAGATGACACTCTGTCTAATGTTCATTGATTTACAGAAGGCCTTTGATTCTGTTGAGACGAAAGCGGTCATCGAAGTCCTAGCCAATCATGGTGTACAAACTCAATACATCAAGATCCTCCGTGAGCTCTATTATGGATTTGCTACCAGGATATCACCATTCTACAAAGAAGTAATCATTCATGTCAAGAGAGGGGTTTGGCAGAGTGATACCATTTCACCAAAACTCTTCAGTGCCACCCTTGAGAACATCATGCGATGACTGGAATGGGAAGGAATGGTAGTGAAGATAGGTGGTTGGCAACTACACCACCTCCGCTTTGCTGATGACATTGTTTTAATAACACCAAACATCAGCCAAGAGGCACAAATGGTAACCGACTTTGTGAGTGCGGAAAGGTTGGATTACAACTGAATCTCACACAGACAATGTTCATGAGAAACAGTCTTGTTCTTTATGTTCCATTCACTCTCAACTGAACCACCATCTTCGAATGCAACAGTTATATATACCTAGGTCGAGAAATCAACATTATGAATGACCTGGCACCTGAGTTACGCAGGAGGAAGAGAGGGGCTTGGAATGCCTTCAATAGCGTTGAAGAAATAACTAAGAGGACAAAGAACCTCCAGTTCCGAGCACATCTCTTCGATTCCACTGTTCTTCCTGCATTAACATATGCCTCAGAGACCTGGGCCCTGCAAAAACAGAATGAGAATGCTATTCGAGTCTCTCAAAGAGGAATCAAAAGAGCTATGCTTGGAGTATTGGAGCTATGCTTGGAGCTTCACTCGAATGAGAGATAGAATCCGGAGTTCAGATCTCCGTCAATGCTCAGGAATCAGGGACACTGTCTCATTTACCAAGGCATCAAAAATCAGATGGGCTGGACACGTAATGAGGTATTAAAGACAATTGCTGGACTAGAGCCATTACTGACTGGATTCCATGGGACATCAAAAGATCGTGTGGACACCCACCTACAAGATGGTCAGACTTCTTTGTCAAGACCCTGAATGACCGGTTTGAGGCTCTGCATGTTCCTAGAATGAACACATGCCATTGGGCTACGCTAGCACGCAATAGGGATGAGTGGAGACGTTACTGGCACCTGCTCCAGTAAATCTTTTACTAACGGGGTATCAAGTGATCAAGTGAAGTTGTATCTGAGGTCCCAGGTCTCTGAGGCTTATGTTAGTGCATACCTGGTCAGACTTGGACCCTATGAAAACAGGAGGAGAAAGCTATTCAGGTATCCCAAAGAGGAATAAACTGAAAGAGCTATGCTTAATATCACATTTCACTCAAGTGAGAGGAATCCAGAGTTCTGACCTCCGTCGATGATCAAGAATCAGGGACGCTGTCTTGTTTGCGAAAGCATCGAAAATCAGATGGGCCAGGCACGTAATACAATTTAGAGATGACCGCTGGACTAGAGCTGTTACCAGCTGGATTCCATGGGATGTCAAAAAAATGCGTGGCTGCCCACCTACGAGATGGTCAGACTTAGTCGTCAAAACCCTGAACAAACGGTTTGAGGCTCTTCGTGTTCCTGGAGCAAGCAGATGCCATTGGGCTATACTAGCACATGACAGGGATGAATGAAGACATTACTGGTGCCCGCTTGAGCAAATCAATGAATAACAGGATGACAAGTGATACAAGTGATTGTTATATCAGGAGTTGAGTTTGCCATCTATTTATATTTTGTATTTAATTTTTCCCTTCTAATTTACTAATTTTTCTCAGGGATTCAGTTCTGAAAAAATATTTGGGGAGAACAAAACAAATTTGGAATTTTATGTAAGTTCTCTGAACTTCTAGAAGATCACCTGTTTGTTGCTTTGCTTTGGATGTCTTAGCTACTGAATGAATGAGCATTCTCAATGCATAATATTGAGAAACTGTACATTTATGTCAGGAGTAGTTTCTTATCTGAGACTTTTAACAATAGAAGGAAGACATGTTTGACATTCCCAAGATGATCCTGAAATACCTGAGAATGCCACCTCAAACTGCCTGGATTAGTGGTGCTGACAACAGTTCTCCTCTCAGAAGCCTTACCTACATTTCTGTGCCATGGGACAGGGTGTGAGCATAAACATAAAAAAATTTCAATGATGGGCTAGAATTCAGTATTTTGAACATAACGATGGTTTACATGACTCTATAAAGAGGAAAGCATTGTGTTGGATTGTACTGGACACACACACACAGTGAGTGATGTAGAACATGCTGCATCTGAATCAGACCTGTATGTGTATAAGTATTGTACCAATTGGTACTAAATCACAACCATGCAAGGTGTCAGCATCAGGGGAAGGTGGGGTAATGCTGCTGAGAACTCTCCATAGTCTATCCAACTTTCTTTGAATTGATAATTATTTTTAAATTAAAACCTTTTAAAAGGAGTACACATACTGTTACTTATCTAAGTTATTCCTAGCTGAAAAGACTTCAAGAAGCAGAGGGGTTTATAAGGATCGACATTCTCTAAGAACCTTGCAGTGATATATTTCACCTCAGTTTAAATCACATCACAGATCATCCTGAGAACTAAGAAAAGATTCCAGTAAATAATGAATATATAAAGTACAGTTCTCACTTCTTTAAGATAGGTATTTTTAAAGTTTAGGACATACCCAGCAGTGCTCAGGAGCTACTCCTGCCTCGGTGCTTGGGCATTGCTCCCAGTGGTACTCTGGGCACCGGGCCATGTGGATACATGCAAAGCATGCACTCAGTGTGCTAAGATGTCTCTCTGGCCTAAATTTTTTTTGTAACCCAGAAGAATTTATATCTATCCTGTGAGATTGTTGAATGCCTGACTTGGATAATAAAGAGAGTATAGCAGGAAGGGCATTTATTTTGCACAAGGCTGACCTGAATTCATTCTCTCCTCAGAACCATATATGGTACTCTGAGCCCTGCCAGGAGTCATCCTTGTGAGCCACCACAGAGCCAGGAATAAGCCTTGAGCACAGTTGGAAGTATCCCTATTTAAAAAAAAATTCAAGACTAGCATGCAGTCATTCTGCTGCTACATGAAGGGAGCTCAAAACTCTGCTGAGTGAAGTTAGTCAGGATAGAGACCCACCCAGAATGAACTTTTATTTATTTTTTTTCACTTTTAGAAACTCATTTATTTTATTTTCCGTCAACCTTATTTTCATTTCCCGTTTGAGTCTAGACGAACAGCTTAAGACCACTCAGTGGTGGTTCCAACCCACTCAGTGGCCTGAGCAGTAGGAGCTGCAGACCAGTCTTCTGTGGCAGGCTGAGCACTCCAATCTTCAGTAGGGAACTGCTGAATGGGCATGGAGGGCACCTGCACCCCTTAAGACCAGTCTGCAACCTCAGGCTGAGTTGCGGTGAACTCCGGAGCTGAGGCAGTCCATTCACCCTGGAATTCCTCCTTAGTCACGGCCTTCTCAGTAGCGGCCTGCTCTTCCTTTTCAATCTCCTCGGGATCTCTGTAGAAGTAGAGATCAGGCATGACTTCCCATGGGTGTTCACGGGAGATGGTGCCTCGCATGCGCAGAACCTCCCGGGCCAGCATCCACCACATGAGGCCCACAGAGTGAGCTCCCTTGTTGTTGCAAGGGATGGCAATGTCCACATAGCGTAGAGGAGAGTCTGTGTTACACAGAATGATCTTTTATATGGAGAGTATACGGGATTATGGTGGAATAATGAATGCTCAAACAGTGGAAAAAGAGATGTGAGAACCTGTAGTTAGTAGGAAACATCCCACCTGAGGGGGCTGAGAGAGGACAGGGAGGGGCTAATAACTATAGTGGAGAGAAGATCAAATGGGAGGAGGAGGTGGTGCTGAAAGGTGCTAACATGTTTTGGATGAAACACAGTTGGCAACAGTACAGTAAAACCATAATGCAAAAAATATGTTTTTAAAAAGTGCCCTTTATTGAGGCAGACTGTGGACAGTAGGATTAGGAGGTGATGTGGGGGAATTGGTGGAGGGAAGTGGGCACTGGTAAAAGGATTGGTGTTGAAACTATGTATGCCGGAAACCCAATATGAATAGCTAGGTAATTTCACGGTGACTAAGGGAAAAGGGGTTAAAAATCAAAGATTTGATTCTTGGAGACAGCGTTCTTAGTGATGTCAAAAAAGCAAGATGTCTCCATTGACTCTTGGAGACATCCTACTTTGCAAATGTGAGGCCCTGGTTGAGGGCCTGATATCCCCTGGGTGGAATCTCCCCATCTTCCCCAGCACCTCCAGATGTATCCCTGGGGGTTCTTTGTGCATAGTTGAATGTGACCCTGATGACTCCAAGCAACATTGGAGACTGCATGCATTGAACTATTCATTCTGGCTGAGTATCACTAGGAGTGACTGACCCTAGGGCTCACTGACCACTGCTCCCCACAACATCGAAAAATTGGGAAACTCAACTTACCTGTTTATGTATAAATGCTTTTTCATTTGCCCTTGGTGCTAACACAAGTCAAAATGCTTCTTAGAGGCCAATGATAGTTTTTGAGGAAAGTGTACAGACGTTTGAGGAACAATCCATAGGTTTGGTAATTATTATTCATTGCACAGGTGTTAACCAGTATTCATTCTTTAACAGTAATATATACTTCAAACTCCAAAATGTTGAAAACATGAAGTAATTTTTCTTCATTATTGAAATCTCTGTATGCAAACCTAGTAGCATTTGAAAGCTAATCTCCCGATGTGCCAGAGTAATTACAGAAAAGTAAATAATCTCCAGTGTTCTTATTCCCCATAGGAATGGTTTAATACTTTATCGTTCAAAACTGGTTTTTAGCTCATTCAAAATGCCTGAGAAAAGTTCTTTAGTATTCAGAATATGAGGGACTTTTAGAAAGTGCTGGAACATTTCTCCCCTCTAGCAATTGCTATTGTACTGGGGCACTTTCTCTATCTGCCAAGGAGAAAGCAAATCCCTCTGCTCCTTTTCCTCACACGGGTGCAGCTGTTTCTCTGTAGAGCCCCAAATCAGAACCCTAAGACAAAAGCCACAGTATGTTTGCCTGAAGTGACTTGTCTGGCTTGTAGATCATTCATTCGGTGGGTATCATTCTTCCACCAAGTCCTTTCCCAGCTGATGTCGCTTGTGATATCAGGCACCACAAAGCTTTTCCATGAAGTGTGACATGTAAACCCCGAGCCCCACGCTGATTTATTATTCACCGGGGATTTCATCATTCATTACATTAATTTCATTCATTACAAGGCTTGTGGCGTCTGTCCCTATGTGTGCCCAAGTTCCAGAATAAGTCTCCGTGCAATTGTTTCCCAAGTTATAAGGCAGCAATCTAGGGTTGAAGTCTGGCAATTCAACTTTCAATTCTTTCATTCAACTGGGATGAATTTGTTGCTTCTATATCTCAAATACTGGCTGGCAGGCCTCAAAGTGCCAACATGATTTTGCTTTATAAACTGTGAAATTGTTTTTCACAGGCCTCTTTACTAGTGCATGGGCAGAAGACTATGCATTTCTTCTCCAAAAGGTTAAAGTTGTGAGGAGTTTCTCAGCATATATGACTCGTGTTTTTCTAGAGCCAGGTGCATTGGGAGATAGCATGTTTGGAATAAATGCATCTTTAGGGAAGTGCACAAGAGTCTTGAAATGTGCTATTTGCAGTTTACAGCCTGTTATAATTTCATGAAAAGTTCAGTGTTGATTATAATTTTCTATTTTTTGATCTAGGTGTTAAGCTGATTTTTGTTTGAATTTTTTGTCTCAATTAAAGAGGCAGGGGGAACCAGCTATTTTTTAATTCAAATGACACCTTTTTATGAAAGAGTTTATTTAATATTTAGTTCAGATCTATTTGATAATCACAGAGTTTTGCTTTTTTTTTGTCACATGGCATTCTGCAGAAATTCTAATTGGGTTCTTCTTTCTTCATTGGCTAAATAGGTATTAGCCCTTTTGAGCTCTGTATTTCCAGTTTTCTAATATTGATACGTTATTTGTTTTTAAGATAGTTCCAAAGCTGTTTTTGTTGGAATTGCCATATTGGTGCATTGGTTGCTAATAAAATAAAATATAATGGATGAACACAAAGTCTGTGATTGAGCATCATTGTTGGATTATTGTAAAGTGAAAATTTTCGTGGAAACCACTGGGGTCAAAGGGGGTTCCTGGTGACTCATTTCATTTTTCTGAGTCTGCTCCAGTTCCCCAAATCTGGGTCTCAACTACTTCACTATTACTCTCAGTGTATTCAGTGCTGTCAGAATTCTTTTTTCTTTGCCTTATCTTACTTCCTCCCTCTTCTTTGCCTGGCAAAGGTGGATGTTCTTATGGTTCTATCTTTTCCTTTATTAACCTCGATGCAGGAGTAATTGAGTACCTGTGGTATCATGCCATTTGGTTTAAGCCTTTCCTGGGTAGATGATGGGAAGAATAAGGAAGTACAACATAAATTTCATTTGTATTTTTCCATGGAGATTCGTAGTCAGATTTGCTTTTCAAGACCAGGTATGATGAGGCTATAGGAGGAATAAATCCAGGTTTCTGACATCAACAGATCTGCTGTATCTTTGGATCAGTCTTGACTGAACCAGTCTTTTGGCAGTCTAGGCTATAATGTCTCCATATCTTTTTAGTTCACTAGGATTTGTGTCCTTTAGTCACACACTTGTCTTCACACATACTTGGCTGTGGTGTGAATGAAAGTCCCTTGTGGAAGTGGAATCACAGACAACAGAGCCTTCAGGCATGAACAGCAACACTGCCAGGATTATGCTTTGTGCACCTGGTGATTCTGGTGTTGAACTCTCAGCTTCCTACTTGCAAAGCAGGTGCTTTAGCCTCGAAGCCATCTCCCAGCACCCGGTCACACTCATTATTGATGATCACACACAATTTGTTTTCAGGTCTGCACACTTTATTGTACTGCAGATCACATACTCAGTTGTGTCATAGGGATCCTAGTTGGCAATGCCACTGGGTCATGCTAGCCATATGTGAGGAGGTTCCTGAGGTTCAACTCATGGCCTTATGCTTGCAAGTCAGATGATATGACCAGTGAGCTATCCCTGGGCCTTATACTCAGTATATCTGAAATGTTTCCTTCCTTTGCATATTAGATTTTCCTTTAAATTTTACCAATGTTTTGCTGTTGACACTATTGTCTATCCTGTGGAGAGTAAACTTTTACTCCACTTTCTTCCACACATTTTATGTTCTGTCTCCTCACTGTAACCTCTCATTCTCACTTTAACTCAGTCTCTTATGTTATGTTCTTGGTCTGAGATTCACTACTTCTTCATTTTTGCATGTTTAAAGCTTAGTCATCTTTTAAGAGCTAATAATAATGATTTCAGGGAAGATTCCAAAATAATATTCCCTGATGTGCCCAGCTGGAATTATTCTCTCATATGTTTGTTGCATTAAAACCATCTTTATTCTTATTCAATATTGAATTTTATATTATTCAGTACAACATATTCCTGATGGGGTGCTCTGATTATACTATAATAAACCCCTGGGAGAAAGAGCTGGGTGTGCTTCCATTTGTGAGGATTGTTGTTTTAAAACTAGTGCCTAGAAATTTAGAATACATCCAAAACGACCAGAACTTTGGAAAATGTCCCTCTGGCTCCACTCAGCACTGCTGCCCACCCTGTGTGCTCCACAGCTCCACTCACGGGGCCCCACACTAACCCTGAGAACCCTGCTGGGTCTTTGTCCATCCGCTGTGCACTTAAACTCACCACTATTTTCCAAATTATGTGCCAAGTGGGGCCTAAACAACCAGAAAGCAGATTTAGAAGGCATCAAGAGAGATGAAAAGGCAAAGGGAAAAAAGAAACTCAGGAAACCTGGTCAACACAACAGGTTTTCAAAGGGTTAAACATAAGATCCTGCATGATGAAACATTTTCTTCATGTACACACACACACAAACACACAGACACGTATAGGCCAGGTTTATACCTAGTGCTTGAAAATGGAACCCCTGCAAATGATTGTGCATATCAGCTTTATTACTGTTAGCTAAAATGAGGAAACAACTTAGATGTCTCTCGATGAATGAGGGGATCAATACAATGTGAGATGCTCATCTCTGAACTTTCTTCAGCTCAGAACATAAATGCAATGCTGATACATGCATGGTACAATATGAATGGATAGGGAAGTGGAGGGAACTGTTTGCAGGCTACATATTGACTCTATTTGTGTGAAATGTGTACAGTAGGCAGAGTCAGAAACAGAGTACATGAGGGGATTGTGATCCATCGGTGGTGCCATAAAGAGTGACTGCTGGGGTCAGAGAGACAGTCAGTGCATAAGGCATTTGGTTTGCATGTGGCCACACCGAGTTCAATTCCTGATGTCCCATACTGTCCCCCAAGCAAGCTAGGAGTGATTCCCAAGTGCATATCCAGAAATAACCTTTAAGTATTACCATGTGTGGTCTCCCCACAAAACCGAAACAAAACAAAGCAAAACGACAAAAAATGTGACTGCTAATGGACATGGGATCTGATTAGAAGATGATGAACATGTTCTGGAATTACCTGATGAAAGTAGTTGTACAACTTTTTTTTCATTATTCATATAACTTTATTTAATTACTTTTTTTAAAAAATTTTTTATTAGTGAAACACCATGAGGTACAGTTGTAGATTTACTATTT